ATAGAAATAAAATATTGCGTTCAATTTCCCTCTCTATGTACACCATAAGACCACGTGTAGCATGTAGCACTTCCATACGGTATGATTCGATTTCTTGCCATGTTCGCTGTGGCAAATTCTCGTCAATGGCTGCCTTTTATTCTGTTATTCACACTTAGGTAGCAACATAATATAATGAATGGGTTTTATTTTTAAGAATGAAGAAGTCAAGGTGAATTATTTTTCCTTTTTTAGAAGTGCACACTTGGCACTCTATCAATAAGCAGTGTGGCACAAAAGAGGATTGACATTGTTTGACAGTTTGGCCAAGTTTCCATCATTCAAAAAACAATATAAAATGAACATTCTTTAGAATGAAACAATTTATCAATTTTGTTGCTATCTACATTATTGATCTTATCTTACTTACAAATATTCTGCTATATTAAAATTCAATGTTCACATCTGGTCAGTCACCTTCAGTGCAGCGAAGTTAGACTAATTAGAGCCCACTCACTCACATATCAACTCACACTCCTGAGGTAAATGCAACCAATACCAATTGTTATTACAATCCGTCCGCCCGCCCGTCCCTTCCAACTTAACTGTTTTGAAATGTTTGATTGATGACTCCTGTTGGGAAATGATGGTCAGTTAAAGGTCCTGTAGTTGTGGTGTCACATCTGCATTACCTGATCATTTGTGATAGAAAATGGACCAGTAACTTGCTTTCACTATATAAAACGTGTCAGGAAATTTGAAAAATCCATTTCTCGTATTCTGGTATAAAGGTCCAGTTAAATATTAATTTATTTCCTTTAAATAGATGTCACATCAAACAACATCCTGAAATATCTACGTTTACGGATTTGCCCCTACTTAAACACAACCACAAAAATAAAATGAACACGTCAACTGAACTTACAACCAAGAGCTTTTTTTTATCTAACTTCTTTATATAATTAAACTCGTTCACTTTTCATATGACCTTTATGCACCAGGTTGTTGAATAAGTTCACGGATAATGCTCTCATTTCAAAGTTTCTTGATATTTTCCCATAAAATGTTCACACAATGTATAAAAAATACTTTCTGATTGATTCTATGGTAACTTGACTTTTGGGTAGGCGGGGCACTTTTTACCCCACACAATTTACCATTACAGAAATCTATCAATATGTGCAAATGAAGGATTTTTTATTTGTTCTTTTCTAAATTTCAAATATTCTGAGGTAAAATTGATGTTGTTTTCATAAACAATATCTGAAATCATGCTATCCAATGCTGTACCAGTATAGTGGGTCAGAAAATAAACAAAGAGTAATGCTATGGTGAGTTGATTAAAACTTAACCATTCAGTCAAAAAAATTCGAAAGGACAATGCAGCCGATCACACTTCTAATATTGTGCAGGAAATCATCACATATAACTGGCAAAATAGAAGGCAAAGCTGCCCCAAGTTATATACTCTCCAGAGGAGACAATGCTTGATTTTGAATATTACTAAAAGCTTATGGGACAATAGTTGTAATTATTATATACCCAATATGTACTTATAATATTGATTGAGACGTAACTTGACTCTATTTCCAAAACCTCCTACTTTTCTCAGTTTTTCTTCAATTACAATAGGTCAAGAATTGATGATAAATTTTATGAATTTTTGAAAATCGTCATTCTCGTGTAAACCAATGGGAAATGGTGGGTTCCGGGCAAAACCACAATTTTTTTAATGCAACTGTATATTTTACCATCCAGCATTTTTAGAAAAAAATGCTAAACCAAGCTAGATTTCATTGAAGCTATTTATAGTCTCACGCTTACTTTCTTAAGTCCCTCATTTTCTATTTTTTCCTTTACTTTTTCACATGTGAGCAGAAAGTTTTGTTTAAACTTAGTAATATCAACGGGTAAGATAGTAATACTTAGTTGAATGCAAAAATTGACTATGTAACTTTTAAAAAACTAAACAGAATAATATACAAAACTTAGAATTAAAAAAACACAGAAAAATAGAAATTTACTCTCAAAATGTTTGAACACTTAACTGTATCATAATAAAGTATTAATGCTCATATATACACTCCCCTCCAAAGGTTTGGCAACCTTAGCTCCCTAATTGAACTACGTGTTAAAGCGTCTTTATGTTTGAATTTTTATTTACATAACCTTCGAGGAAAATAATAATGGAAATCTATCTTGACTTCATGCCTCCACAATTTCCTAATTTTTTCCTCAATCACAATGTCGAAAAATGTTGATAAATCTGATGAAAATCGGCATTCCCATGCAAACCAATTAGTCCATGGTATGAAATATCTAGGACGTCTAAAAAAGGAGATGGTAGCACACTATAGCGCAGCGATATTTGACCTAACATTAACATACCTACATATGTTCCCTAATAATTTTTATTATAACCATTTAATATACTTTCGGCTTTCAGGGTGAATTATGCCTGCCATCAACAGAGGTCAAAAAATTACCAAAAAATAAAATCCCAATTTTTCACAGTTTGGAGAACACAATGCAACAGCAAATAATACAAAAATATTTTAAATATATGATCTAGGTTTCTAAGCTATACGTTTGAGGTTATTTTTCTTATCAATGCCAAAAACATTATGTAATCAGTGCATAGACGTTTTGTATTGCTTCTCAGGTATTTATAAGATTAATGCTAGAAATTAATCACTTTTATATTAGAATGATGCTTAAATTATGTTAGATTTTCACAAAATGGGTCTCAATACTTTTTGAGATATTGTTTTTTATTCAGCGGTGAACATTAAAAATAAAGGAGAGCCTATTGCTCTTCCTTGACTAATTGGGACTACAGCTGGAAATTATATTTCTCGTAGTTAGATATAGCTCAGTTGCTTATAAAAGAACACCAAGACTTGGTCGAAATCCTGAATAATTGAGAAAAAATAGTTATCATTATCTTCCTAAAATCTGCTTATATCCAGCGGTAATTAAGGTCAAAGAAGAAGCAACAATCAAATAACTTGATGATAGCCAGCAGTAACGTCGAGGAAGAATGTAAGGCGTTCGATTGCATATAGCTCTAATTGATTATTAGACATGCCCCTAGAATATATGAACATTCCAATACCTCTGTAACACTTGCGTAATTACACTAATTAAACATCTACATCCACAGTAAAATTAAAGTATATTTTTACATTACGATAATCCATTTTTTGTTCGTATGCTTAGAATAATGGTCAGAGTCTAAAATTAAGGGTTATAAAATGTATAAAAGTTCGAATCAAAATATTTACGTTTTTGGACCCCTTGTGATGAAAGACATGTTTCGACCCGAAAGCCGGAAGTTTTTGAGCAAATGGTATTTTAGAAAAATCAAGACATATGCACCTCCATAAAATTGCTTCAAATGTTGCTGCGCTATAGTGTGCTACGGATCCTTCATATTCGGAAGTCATACCATGGACTAAATGGGTAATTGTAGGTTTGCTGCAAGTCATATGACAACTATTCATCCATCCGAGTTCTTGCAAAAAACTACAAGATACGCAATGTTGAAGAAGCATTGCATATTATTAGTGATGTCCCGAGAAAAAGTGATGATTCAGACTTCAATATTAACTAGTAGTGGGGGAGTTTACAAATTTATACTGACCAATTTATGTTGCTGACATGCAATTACAAGGGGTTACACAAGGTGTTACGGATTATTTTGTGACACAGCAAAATCAGGTATATTTTCGCTTTTCAATTCGACTTGATGAACTGCCATACCCATACCAGCTGTCTAATATATTAACATTTTATGTCATTTCTGAATAGTTGATTATGATGGCTAGAGCATTCAGAAAATATATTGTGTCATGAGCTTTCTGATGCTCTATAGGATTATATATCAATTAACACACGTACAGTCAAATTTTTCAAAGAAAATCTGAAACTTTTTATTGGTTTTGATCATTTAAGGATTAAAAAAGTTAGGTCTTCAAATTCAAAATTATTTTCAAAAGACTCCTCCGATCGAAATAACACAGGAGGCAAAACATGATTTTCAAAAATGACGTTGAAGCTCTGTAACTTTAGTATTCATAAAGTAAACTAAACACTTAGCGAACAAAAAATCAGACAATTCAATTTGATATACAAAAACAGTATTTCTTATAAAACTAATAGATAGATAAAATCTGAAATCGGATTTGCCCAGAATGCACCATTTCCCATTGTTAACATGGGAATGACGATTTTGGAAATTCAGCATCATCAATTTTCGACCTGTTGTAATTTAGAAAAGTTTGGAGGCAAATAAACAAAAATATAACATTTCAATTAAATGTTATGTGAGTACGAAGAAATTCAAGATAGCAAGTCATATCCTAAACGGGAGTAACGCAATAATAACTTAATAGCGTTTGTACCAAAAATGAGAAGCAATTTGACAGTTATTCCTCAACAATAGATATGCCAACGTATTTTAAAACTTTCCTTAGAGCACTTAAATGTATCTTTTGCTAGTGTCATGAATATTTAAGAGATTGGTTTCATATTATTTGTGTATTTTAGAATTAAAGGCAGTCTGTCAAAATAACCAATAACAATGTAAAATACACTTTAATCCATTTCCAAGCAAAAATATACCTTTCCGTATTTATTCTAACAATATCACCTCCAATAAATTTCGAGAATGGTTTGGATTTTGGATATTTGGGATGAGTGATTAATCAGACATCACTCGGCTCCCATCGAACGCAGTGAAGACCGAGCGTGCGAATATGATATCAGGTACAGACACTATCGAGGTATCATATCAGTAATAGAATACTAGGTAATATAATTTTTTGACATGCTATTTCGAATTTCTCAGTACTTACGGATATCTATTTGATCGTTTTATGTTTTTACAACGTACTATCAATACTCTTAGAGTACTTTGTACTCGGTGAATAAGGTTAATCATTTGCCGATATAATACATGTCAAAAAAGGCTCATTTTTAGGACACCCAAAAAATTATATGTATGAATGTTGTATAATCAAGTGACTCAAAATTCTTGAGTGTCAGAGAATTCTTCAAGTGACTCAAAATTCTTGAGTGTCGGTGAATTCTTCAAGTGGCTCCAAATTCTTGAGTGTCTGTGAATTCACCGATGATCATTGTTTACTAAAGTAACATTACAGATTTCGCAATGAATTTTGTTTGATCTCCATTTTTCTGTACAATTGGAAGCCCAAAAATTAGATTGTCGAGTGCGTCTTGTTCCATCGAAGTAATGAAGTGAACCTATAATATAAATGATACTGATTATTAAATCAATTTTCATTGGCAAGATTTCAAGATTTTTTGCAAAAAGTCATTTTAAGCCAAAGTTACAATTTAACGTATTTTTCAGTTTTTCTCATTTTCAGGCCAATTATACGAGAATAATATGCATAATTCACATAAAAATAATCGGGAGACAGTATCCCGTGATTCCCAGTTGCTAGATTGCCCCTACATAGCTTGTGTAAGATGGAGCGATCTGATTTGTAAACTGGCTCCAAGTTGGAGCCAGTTTTGAAAAATGAGCGGTGCGTTTTTATTTAACGGAAATGCAATGCATAACCTGTTCTGATTTAGTAAACGTGATCTAATTCATCGATATGTTTTACTTAGAAATGAATTTTCTCTCATAGTTTTGGCTTGAAATGACTTTTTGTAAAAAATCTTGAAATAAGTTACAATTTTACGTATTTTTCAGTTATTTTCATGCAAATTATACGAGAATAAGATGCATAATGCACATAGAAATGATCGTGAGACAGTATCCCATGATTCCCAGTTGCTAGATTGTCCCTACATAGCTTGTGTAAGATGGAGCGACCTTATTTGTAAACTGACTCCAAGTTGGAGCCAGTTTTGAAAGATGAGCGGTGCGTTTTTATAAAACGGAAATGCAATGCATAACCTGTTCTGATTTAGTGAACATGATCTAATCCATCGATATTTTTACTTAGACTTCAATTTTCTCTTATAGTTTTGACTTGAAATGACTTTTTGCAAAAAATCTTAAATTATGTTATAATTTTACATATTTTTCAGTTGTTCCTTATTTTCATGCAGATTATACGAGAATAAGATGCATAATCCACATCAAAATGATCGGGAGACAGTATCTCGTGATTCCCAGTGGCTAGATTGTCCGTTAATAGCTTGTGTTTAATGGTGCGAGCTGATTTGAAAACTGGCTCCAAATTGGAGCCAGTTTGAAAAATGAGCGGTGCGTTTTTATTAAACAGAAATACAATGCATAATATTTTTGGAATTGATGAACGTGATCAAATTCATCGATATCCATGCTTAGAATTCAATTTACCCGTATAGTTTTGCAAAAATATGACAATATATGTATAAACTATATTCAAAAGCCATCTTCTGCAGTACGTCAGTAAGTAAGAAGCCAGTTTTAAAAGCCGGCTTCTTGGTGACTCCAGAAGCCGGCTTCTGTTGTCCTTCAGAAGCCGGTTTTTAAAAGCCGGCTTCTTGTTGACTGTAGAAGCCGGCTTCTGTAGTACGTAATAAGCCAGTTTGTAAAAGCCGGCTTCTTGATGACTCCAGAAGCCGGCTTCTGTTGTCCTTCAGAAGCCGGCTTTTAAAAGCCGGCTTCTTGGTGACTCCAGAAGCCGGCTTCTGTAGTACGTAAGAAGCCAGTTTGTAAAAGCGGTTTTTGCCTTCGAGTACTTCTGGTTTATTTGGCGTCCAAATTGACAATATATTGTGATTGTGATATTCAAAGTGTTTAATTACCACTCGTTCTGCAACTGCTTTGTAGACTTCAAATGTTGCTCCTTTTTGCCTGGTCGAGAGAACAGCTACAGCTTCCTCTGCCCAAATCTCAATCAACTCATCATAGGTTTTACCTTAAACATCAAGACACAATACGTTCATTCCATATATAGGGGTATATTAATAGAGTTTTATTTTATACCTTGGAGATATATATCACTTTTTGAAATCATAAAAGGTAACTTAGATGTCATTAGCTAATATTTGTGCTTAGTAAATATTATTCGCTTATTTGTCGAGTATTTTACAATATAAACGTATCATATTTACACATAAAATATTTTTAAAGGACAAACCGACAAAAAATTGCAATGTGTCATTGCAATGACGGATGAAAAGGAACGTCGTCTTAAGTCTATGACATTTTGTTTATATGAATGCCGAAACGGTCCACTGAACACTGGGGAGTTCCTCATGAGTCTCTACATAACATTGTTCCCATATACCCTAGTGTATTGCCAAATACATCATTACAGGTTTATTTTATACATAAAAGATAGGAATTACCTTTGAAAATCATACAACGTATCTTAAATCGAATTAGCAAAACTTTGCGTTCACTAAATATTATTTGCTCATTTGTTTCACTAATCACAAAACAAGTCGTATATACACATGATATACATGTATGCAGAAACTTCTGAAATGTCAGAACAACAAAACATCGAATATGTCATCGCAATGAGAGATGAAAATGAAGTTGTCTTAGTCTATGACATTTTATTTATTTACATTTCGAAAAGGTTTACTGAACATCGGGTATAGGCTTTAATAAACGTCAAGAGTTCCATTATTGGGTAAGTCCCATGTACATGTGTGGCAATGACTCTAAAACTTTACGCAATGTATATTTAAATATGTGCACATAATAACGGCAACGTCTGATGACATCTGCGTTATTTTTCAATATACTTTGCTACACAGCTACACGCTTCTTTTTCTTTCTCGATAAAAAAATTGTATTTGAGCTGGTCTAAGCATGAACCTCCATCCCCGAGATAGAAGACCATGGTTTATGCCATATTTCGCAACAATGGGTAAACTCTTAGCAACATATCTGAATTCATATAGAAATAAGTCTGGTGTGAATTTTGACCAGCCTTGTTTCATGTTTTAAGCATGATTAAATACGAACTTAAATTCTATAAATTATCCTAGATCGTACATTTGCCTTGGCAAATAATACAAGTGGTGTATTGAACATGATTGCTAGGATTTTTAAGGATTATAACGGAGATATTCTCTTTCTGGTGTACACATGAAGTATGGCGAATCATGATATCAAGTTGATCCCCTACTTTTAGTATATCAGCGTTTATTGCAAATTTATCAATTTATTTCGCACGTTATGTAACGAGCCTTAATACAACGTGAAGAAAACTCATATAAAGATCAAATAAAGCAATATAACAGGCCAAACTAAGGTAAGTGCGCATCATATCGAATGTCCTCTTTGTAAAGTTCAATAATATATTCACCAATTCCATTATGCTGTGACAAAAACTTGTCAAATGTTGTAACGTACTTTAGAATCCTTATCTTTTGAATCGAAAAATGAAACTTTTATTACCTATACCTTTTGTTATGGATGTAATCGTCTTGAGGCTTTGCTCGCATTTTGATAAATCAATTTCCGATAAAACATCACTTTGATTTTAAAAGTTAAGTGATTCGTGTATTCTCTAGCAATTGAATTGTTTAAAGTGATATTTTAGAAAAAAAATAGCGACATAGATTCCGATCTGGCCCTTAGTACGTGTCCATAAATAGTTTGGATGTATATGTGTTGACGTTTGAGAAAAGAAACACTTGACACGAATGTCCCCTTATATGTGGTTTGAACGAATAATGGGTTCAGATGCCATACTTATACTTTAACATTTTTTTGTAAGCAATAACGGCTTCCTTTTCAATATAAAATACAGTACTAAACACTGTTTTTGTAAACATGACTTGTCTAACACGTTTGAGAAATAATGATCTAAAGTTAAAAAATCGTACATCTGTTAATATTTAATATTTAGCACTCTAGAGTTAACTCAACTATTCAACCTAAGGCTACTCTATATTTACTGTAAGTAAACCAAACAAAGGTATGATGAGTGAACCAGTCATTTAACAGTAACACAAATTAAATCAATCACAGCAAACTAGTTCTTACCCGTTCTTGCCTTAGTCTAGAAGGTCATCATGACCTTATAACAGAACGGTATGGTCGCCATCGAATTTTGAATTGATTCAAAATTCTAAATCACATTCCCCGTCTGGGAAAGTCCATGAAGTCCGTTAACAGACCGTCGAACGTTGTAGCTACGTTCTTTCCGTTTGCACACAGTGTAAAACCAGTTTTGAAGAACGCAGTGACAACTTGCTTGGTGTGATAGCTATTTTGCTAACTCGTTGATGAATACGTTCTTAATCAGTTTTAACTCGCTTGCAATTAGTTCTACCTCGTTCTCAATACGTCCTCAGACAGACAGTTCAACTCGTTGTAAAAACGTCCCTAATAGGATTGACAAACGACGGTTCCGTTCGTAGTACGTCCAGCTCGTCGTTGGTAGGTTGTTACTCGTTCTACTAGAGATTTTACATTTTGGCATGCCATCTCCTGATACCTTGGTGAACTAAGTCATGTGATCATTTATATCCAATCAGAATGCATTTCAGTGATCCAAAGCTAAACCAAGGTGTAGGAAGGGTTTATGCACTTTTCTAATTGGCCATGGTTGACATGCATGTTTGCAAACTTGGTACTTGCATCAAGAGCTCTGACTGGCATCCTAACAAAATAAATTCATACTACACTAATGCCTGGGTCACATTTGCTCCGTTTTTTCAATATTGTATTCAATTTTGAACAAAATACTCAATCGGCATGGCGCCGTAGTGAAAAAACGGAACAATCTGCATTACTTGTACATAGTGTTTACCAATAGCCCATTTTCAGCATAGCAATTTCTAAGAAGGGTTTCCAAAATGCTCCATCGTGGAATACCTTGACCCTCTATTCTTACATGCATGATAGATACAGACATGTTTATAGATGCGATGTGTACCAGAATGAAAGCTCTGGCTTCTTCCTAATTTTGCGGGAGGGGGCAAAGTACTTTCTTGATCATTAAAAATAAATGCCATTGTCACAGGAACTCTGCATTTTATGTAAATCCATTGAATATTTATCTGCATGCTCAAAGTTAAGTTAAGAAGATCAGATTCTTTATAACTTGATCCAAATCTATTTGATATTCAAAATCTAAGTAAACCTCTCTAGTTGAAGAACCAACTTTCTATCATATTACTCAGATTGGATTAATCAATATTCTCATACTCTCTCTAGTTTGTATGAATGAATGACCCTAAACATCATGTGAAAGACTTCTCAGAAAATGTGCCCAATATATTACTCTAAATCATACATGTCATAGGAGCTTTGAAATTTTGAAAAGTTGTCTGAAACAAAAATTGTGATCATAAAAAGAGAATGGACTCATTTTTTCTATTTTTAGGAATGAATTCAAATTTTCAAAAGCTTCTATAATTTCAAATAATATATTTGGCACGCTTTCTCAAAAATGCAATAGATTCTGTCTGGTGACCTTTCTAAAAGTCCAACTTTTAACTGTTTTGAGTCACATTTTCTGAGTCACACTCCTCTGTGTATACTTTCTCCAGTATGTATGAATCGAAACTAGGTTAATTTCCCATATATGTGCCTAAACCAATATTTTATTGTTTTATTTACTTTCTGTGTATGTGTGTATGGACTACTATTTATATTTTTCCAGTGTATATATGAAACAATAAATTTTAACTGTGTGTATTGACAAATATCATGTACTTTCTCCAGTGTGTATGAGCAAATATTATGTACTTTCACTAGTTATTTAACCAATACTCTGTACGTTCATACACACTGGAGAAAGAACATAGTATTTGTTCATACAAAATGTGTGTTCATAAACAATGGAGTACATGATATTTGTTCATACATACTGGAGAAAGTATATACACAGGCGTGTTGGTTCATATACATGTCCATACTGGAGAAAGAGCGTAATGTCTCTTCATACACATTATAGATATTGTAGAACATTAAATTCGTTCTATGGTTTAGGTACATTTTATTCGTTCTGACACATTGATTAATTAACAACGTTAGAATGAACAACGTTTTGGTTCATGCACAATGGAGAAAGTACAAATCATTTGCTTATGCATGTTGGAGAATGGACACAAAATATTTATTCATACATGCAGGAGAAAGTACAAAAAATGTGTTCATTGAAAGTGGAGAACCCAATTATATATTTTCTCCAGTTTGTATGAACAAATTCATCAATGTGTTTCATGCAACACATTTTAATTTGTAATTTAAGGTGCTATGTAAGTTAACAGAAATGACAAAACACAAAATGTCAAAACCATGCTGGATTCTGAAATTTTTTTGAACCAAGATAACAGAGTTCTGTTGGACCTCCAGTCAGTTTAACCAGTTCAACATATTTACATGACAGGGAACACAAGGAAAATGGTCAGAATTACCATAAACATGATGAAATAACCTTTTCAGCCCTCTGAAAATGTGACCGAAAAATAACTAAAAGTAGGTGCTCAGGAAAGGTCAATGAACAGAATCTCTTGATCTTTTCAGAAAATGTGTCTAATATATTGCTCTAAATGATACAATCTTTGAAATTTTAAAAAATTGTCTGAAACAATAATTGCTGTAGTTAACTCTCTTAGTGCCGGTGCGACTTTTTGTTCGTTTGACGTCTCAGTGCCGGTGCGACTTTTAGGTCGTTTTTGAAGGAAAATTGTGTAAAACTCATATATGTTCGTATTTCCAAATCAGAAGTGATTGAAAACACAATAAAACTATCTGATTACATACTTCAGTACTATACCTTATGTAAATGCTTCATATTGAGCCAATGGAATAGTGATAAGAGGAGAAATTAGAGTGAAACTCGACATATTCCTCCACGTCTTGGAAATATTTTCAATATGGCGCCATTGGGGAAATCCCTGGGGAAATCCATTTGACATGTCATTTTGAAACGTATGATAATTGATT